AAAAAAAAAAAAAAAAAAAAAAAAAAAAAAATAGAGTAAACTAACATTTTTATATTGATTACATTTTGAAATGATACTCTTTTGGATATATTGAGTTAAATAAAATATTAAAATCAATTTTACCTGTTTCTTTTTACCTTTTTAATGTGGTCACTTTCTAGAAAACTTAAAATCATATATTTCTATTGGACAGCGCTGGTCTAGACGAACTCCTGGGGCACTTTATCATGAATTAGGTTGCCGGGCCAGGCCCTGGTCGTCGGAGGTCTCTGCACAGTCCCGAGGCTGAGGCTGCTGCACAAATGGCCTTTTCCAGGACGGGGTTTGGAGTGAAGGGACAGTTGAGCTGAACTGTTGTCGTCACCTGAATGTGGGACCAGTGGTGGTGGTGGAACTGTGGGGTTTGGGAACAGGTCCTTTGGCCCTATTTTCCTTTATTTTGAAATGGGAACTGTACTTTCTAGATCAATAATGCAGGTTGCATGGTCAATAAGAGAGAGCTCACGGAAGATGGACTTGAAAAAAACTTTGCTACCAACACTCTGGGTAAGTGTAAGCAGTTTTCTTGTTTGCTTTTAGCAAAATAAATGTAGACATAAATGATACTGTAGAAGGATCAGAAAAACATTGATCTACTTTTTGGGTTCTTGGTCCTTGGCGTGATTGCATTTACTTTAAATTTATCCTTCACTGCATTATTATTTCTTCATAAAACACTCTTTTCATGTTTTACATAATATGTGTTAGTGCCAGGAATACTTAGCATTGTTAAAGTTTTTTTTTTCTAGGAAGCTCAAGGCTCATTATAGACATGACTTTGGTGAGAAGGGCAAGGTCATCTTAGGTAGAAAGTGCAGACATGAAAACTGTAGCCAAGGGAGCTTCCAGCCAGGGCTGAGAAAGGTGCAACCATGAGACCAGGAGATGGGCCAAGAAGGGCACTCACCTGGAATGCAGGACCCCTGGGTTCCGGTTCCTGCTCTGTAATAACAGGCCGACTCATTTTGTGCCAGGCCAGTGATTCTCAAAGTAGGGTTCCTGGGCCAGCAGCATCAACATCACCGGGCAGCTGGGTAGAAACGCACATTCTTGGGCTTCACCCCCAGCTCTACTAAATCCAAAACTAGGATGGGGCTGAGAAGTCTGTGTTTTAACAAGCCCTCCGGATGATTCTGATGCACACTAAAGTCTGAAAACCAAGGTACCGGGATTTTAACCTCTTTGGATTTTCTCCATCTCAGACCAAGGGGTCTGGAGTACAGATCCTCAGCTTATATTGGGGTTAGGTCCCAGCCAACCCATCATAAGTTGATCATATAGTAAATTGAAAATGCATTTAATCCACCTAACCTACCGAATATCGTAGCTTAGCCCAGCCTACCTTAAACATGCTCAGAACACTTACATTAACCTACAGTTGGACAAGATCATCTAACACAAAGCCTAATTTATAATGAAGTATTGAATATGTCATGTAATTTATTGAATACTATACTGAAAGTGAAAAACAGAACGGTTGTCTGGCTCTAGAATGGCTGTAAGTGTGAGCGTTGCTCATTATTGTGATCACCTGGCTGACTGGAAGCTGCAGCTCGCTGCCCTGCATCCCGAGAGAGCATCATACCGCATATCACCACCCCGGGAAAGGTTCAAAATCCAAAATTTGAAGTGCGATTTCTACCTAATGTGTATCGCTTTCACACCGTCATGAGTCAAAAAATCATAATTCAAACCATCATAAGTCAGGGACCAACCGTAGACTATTTCGGTGCCTTTCAACTCGGAGATGCAATGAATCTAAGATTCTCCCCAGTGACTATACCATTTCCTCATAGGAAGTGAAGCTTTTAATAAGGCATTTTAGTTTTTATTTATTTGTTTATTTAATTTATTTTTTGCGGTACGCGGGCCTCTCACTGTTGTGGCCTCTCCCGCTGCGGAGCACAGGCTCCGGACATGCAGGCTTAGTGGCCATGGCTCACAGGCCCAGCCGCTCCGTGGCATGTGGGATCCTCCCGGACTGGGGCACGAACCCGTGTCCCCTGCATTGGCAGGCGGACCCTCAACCACTGCGCCACCAGGGAAGCCCCTTAATAAGGCATTTTAATTCATCCTAAGTCACAAGATGAATGGCGGGGGTTCCTGTGTTTGTCGTTGAAGGTGTCCATTAAATAGTAACCCTCTTCCCAACCAAGAACTGAACAATTTGAGGATTAAGACAGTGGATGAAAGCCCCAAATCACTGTTGTTACGGATAAGGCTGGTTGAAGGGCATGGCTCACGTGAGAGCCAAGTGGCTTCCTTAATGCTAAACCCCCGAGTTAGCCAGCCTCACTTGCTTTGTTGCATCTGGCTGGCCTCAGACAGACACCACCAACCCCTCCCAGGAAGAGGAAGACGTGGGGAGCAGAGCTCAGCAAGCCCAGATTACTGCCCCTAAATTTACTCCAGTTTTTAAGTGGTCCCGTCCTCGCAATGGAGAGAGGAAGGGGCTGAGGGAGGATGTCCATTGTTCTCCCTCCAGGAGAAAGAGAGCATCTGGAGTGGGGAAGAACCTTTCTCCCTGGCACTGAGGTTGCATTTATTTCTTCTTAAACAAATCCCTGGGAGCTTGCTATGAAACGCTGCAGGTTTAGTACAAAATATTCCCAACGTTCGCTTTGTTCCAAATGTGGTATCCTTGCCCAAAGTACCAAAAGTACGCACATGGGGGGTCATGCCAGGGTTTGCCTTCTAACTCTCCTGGATGGCGAGGACTCCTAGGGTCCTAGCAGCTGGCCTCCCAGGTGGCTGCTCTCCAGGACCAGCTTTGTGATTTGCGGGGCCCAGTGCCAAACAAAAATGGGGGCCCCTGTATTCAAAAAGTGCAGGGCCCTGTGGGGTTGCACAGGATGAAGCCTGCTCTGCTGCTTCCCCACCTGCCCATCCACCACCCAGCTAAATTCTACTGGGTGTGCGCTGCATGCTGGGCACTCGTGGGTGGCGTACGTATATATGGCACTGAACCCACGTGACCACCCTATGATGGAAGTATTCCTGCCTGTACATTACAGATGAAAACACTAGACTGAGAGAGCTTGCATAACTTGCCCAAGGTCAAGTGGAGGAGCCAGAATTTGAACCCAAGTCTGTCTGCCTCCAGAGCCCATGTTCATAACCAAGATGAGTTCTACCAGCCCCCAGCATCTCCTCCCTCAGACCCATCCCTGCGTTATCGTGAGATAAGTGCTAAAGGGAGGCTGGGAGGGGAGTGACCAGCCATGCCAGGAGAAGCATGGCCCAGGGCTGGGGACACTGCTTAGAGGGCCTCCTGGGAATCTGCCTTGATTGAGAATGTGGGGCAGATCTGATAGACTCTCAGGGAACTGCCTTTTTTTTTTTTTTTTTTTTTTTGCCACGCTGCAAGACTTGCTGGATCTCAGTACCCCCACCAGGGACTGAACCCAGGCCACCGCAGTGAAAGCGCAGAGTCCTAACCACTGGACGACCAGGGAATTCCCTTTTTTAAAAATTTTATTTTATTATTTATTATTGTTTGGTTTTGCTTTTGCCTCTTTGATTATACAGCTGATTATGTTGTACTTTTGTTTTGGATCCGGTCTGCTTCTAAGCACCTTGATATCTCTCATTTTCATTTCCTACCTGTGTTAGAAACATTTTATTGATCTTGCCAACCTCTCTGAGAAGCATAGTAATTCTCATGCTTAATATTTATTCCTCCTCTCCAGAGGGGAAGACGTAGTCCAACATACACAGGAGCGAGTCCGTGACAGAGAGGGCAGCTTGACGTGCTTCTGCTTTACAGATGAGGAGATACAGAGAGGTTCAAATACTGTCATTCTGAAGCAGGTGCAGAGCCAAGCAAACAGCCCATACCTCTGTCTGAGTCCTAGGAAACTGCTGGCTGCCTTTCTAATGTGAAACATGTTTTCGTGGCCTGATTATGTAACACAGGTTAGGTTGTTTGCTATGTTCTAAGATTCCGTTTGGCCTCTAGAAATACTTCCAATCCCAGCCAAACATCAGTAGATTCCTGATACTCTGACGACAGGACACAGTAGGATTTGCAGAATTTATCACCAGATCCTAAGAGTTCGGGAGGTGGTGGATTAGTGAAATACTGTCAGACCCCATGGCTGCATGTGGCTCTTTGTGAAGACATCACAGTCTATGAATCAGATAAAGGTTGGAAATCATTCTCCCTCTCCTTTTGCGGGGATGGGTGGAGCATGGAGAGATTTTCATAGTTTACTCTCCTAGGGACGAAAATGAGCCGCCTCAGGGTAGATTTGTGGGGAGACGAAGCGTGGAGGTGAAGTGATCTCATGAGACAGATGCTGTTTGGTCGCTGTACTTGCCCCTGTGTTTCGGGTCTTCTCAAACCATATCTGTTTTGCCTGTTGGCGTTCAGTGGCATTCAGAGCCCGTGAGGAGTGAAGATGGATGTGGGGGGTTGGGGGCGCAGTGCTTCGCTGAGTGCTGTGCTGGCAGCTGGCCACAGCCTGAGCACCCGCCGATCACAGCTCTCACCCGCCTCTCAGCCCCTCTCACCCCCGGCACACGAGACAAGGATGCCATCCACCTCCTCCGAGACAGCTGTGTCATCAGTTAATTGACTGTTATAAACAGGCAGTGGTGCCTTAGATCTGTGGCAGAGGGTGGGAGAGTTCAGTTGAGGTCATCTTGGAAGGACGCGCCTACATCAGTGCACGGCACACGTTCTGTCCCTTCACATTCTGTTATTTGGGACTTTCTGCTCACTGGCATAGCTCCACACCCAATGGTAACTGCTGTTTAAAGCAGGGACCCAGGGTCCAGAAACACCTTAATAATAATGATGATAATAATAGTAATAATAATGGCACACACTGAACACTTCCCATGTGCCAGGGGCTCCACTAAGTGTTTTTCTTGGACAATCTCGTTCAGTTCTCATAACAACTTTATAGATTTCATAAACAAGGAAACAGGACCAGAAGTAGTTTGAAATCAGAGTCTGAGTGATTCACCTTCCTAAATAAAGGATAACAAAATTATATTTGGTCCATTTTTGTTATAGGCTTGTATCTGTCAGCTCTTGCTACATAACAAACAACCCCCAAATCTCTTAGGCATGCAATAAATAAGCATGTATTTCTTGTTGACTCTTAGGCAGGTCTGCTGGGTGGGCTAACGTCAGCTGAGCTCAGTAGGGTATCTCTAAGCAGCAAGTTGGGTCTGCATTATGTTCCAAATTCTTGCATCCTCCTTGGACCATTAGGCTGGCCAGAGTGTGTTCCAGTGGCAATAGCAGAAGCCCAAGTGTGCAAGCACATTGCAAGCCCCTGCTTGCTTCAGATCTGCTAACGTCCAGCTGACCAATGCAAGTCATTTCACAGAGCCCAAAATCAAGAGTCAGGGAAACATACTCCTCCCAGGTAACTGGGGAAGAGAGGGTGAACATTGTCAAACAGTAATCTACGACAAGGGTCTATTTTATTACATTCTAAGTCTTTGGAAATGGGTCATCTGAGTTTGATGTGGTAACTATTAACCCCAAATATTTA